ATAGAAGACCAAAGCAGGAGCATTTTACCTTGATTAAGCTGAATATGGAATGAGATTTCTGGATCCACAAGCCCAAATTCAAATACTCAATCTCCTCTTCTTCCTTCCAAGCTTCACAAGTCAACAAAAGCACCAAAATGGCCTTAACACACACAATCGGCTAGGGTTTCGATATGCAGCTCTAGGAGAGTGCTAGGGATAAGGGAGGCTGAGTTACGGTGTTTATATAGGGTGTAAACCCTCATATTAAGGTTTTTGGGCCACCAACTCGCCGATTCCCAGGCCAAAATGCAAAATACTTAATTTAAAAATACGTTCTAGGAACCAGGTGCCACAAATCTTCCCCACTTATTTTAGACTTCGTCCTAGAAGTCTGCTTCTTGTTCCTGGAAAACTCTGGGTAAAGCTCAATCATCTCATCCACTGGCTCCCAAGTCCACTCCGAGCCCTTTTGGTGCTGCCACTGCACCTTTACCAGCTCCACTCTCTTGTTCCTCAAATCCTTTGACTTCCTGTCAAGGATTGCCACTGGCCACTCGATGTAGTTCAGGCTGTCATCAACCTGAATGTCCTCTAAAGGCACTACTGCTGCATTTCTGCAACTGGGAATGTGAGAGGTGCTATGAATCTGACTGAGTTCTGCTGGAAGATCCAGCCTATATGCCACCTTGCCTACTCAGGGTACAATCCTGAAAGGTCCAATATACCTAGGTCCCAACTTGCCCCGCTTCCTGAATAGAAAGACACACTTCCAAGGTGACACCTTCAGGAGGACCATATCCCCGACCTGGAATTCCAAGTCGAATCGGCGCTTGTTGGAATAACTTTTCTACCAACTCTGAGCAATTTAAAGCCCGCTTCGGACCTGCTGGATCCTCTCTGTAGTCTTGAGTACCACTTCGGTACTCTCTATAACCCTCTGACCAACCTCACCCCAACATATCGGGGTCCTGCACTTCCTCCCGTACAACATCTTGAATGGAGGACGGTCAATACTCATGTGATAGTTGTTGTTGTAAGAGAACTCAGCCAAAGGAAGGTATGTATCCCAATTACCTCCGAAGTCTAAGACACACGCCCGCAATATATCCTCCAAAGTCCGTATGGTCCTCTCACTCTGTCCATTTATTTGTGGGTGAAAAGTGGTGCTAAAATGCAGACGAGTATCTAGCTCGTCACGGAACTTCTTCCAGAACCTGGAAGTAAACCGAATGTCTCAGTCTGAAATCACAGATACCAGCACCCAGTGCCGCGCCACCACCTCCCTACCAACTTTTCAATCGAAATACTCTCCTGAATCGGGATAAAATGGGCGCTCTTGGTCAATCGATCAATGATGACCCAAATCGAATCCACTCCCCGCACGGTCCTGGGAAGCTTTATGATAAAATCCATCATGATGTCTTCCCATTTCCACAGCGGAATATCCAATGGCTGCATCTTTCCATGAGGTCTCTAATGCTCGGCCTTGACCTTCCTACAGGTCAAGCACCGCTCTATATACCATGCCACATCCCGGTTCATGTAGGGCCACCAATAGTCCATACGAAGATCCCTATACATCTTCGTCGCACCGGGGTGAATGGAGAATCAAGATTTATGCGCCTCTTCCATCAATACATGGTGCACACCCCCATGATACGGGACCCACACCCTACGGTGCCGAGTCAACAACCCCCGACTATCATAGTCAAAGGAGGAAACCTGACCCACAATCCACTCACTCTTCCGATGTTCATCCTTCATGGCCTCCTGCTGGGCCTCCCGAATCTGCTCCAACAGTGAAGTCACCACCGTCATCCTCAGGCAGATATCCCTAATCGGTGCTGCCTTGCGGCTAAACGTGTTGGCCACCACATTGGCCTTACCCGGGGGATAAAGGATCTCGCAATCGTAATCCTTTGCCACGTCCATCCACCGATGTTGCCTCATGTTTAGATTCTGCTGATCCATGAGGTACCTTAAACTCTTATGGTCCGTGTAGATAGTACATCGGACCCCATAGAGGTAACGATGCGAAATCTTGTGGGCGAAAACAATAGCCCCCAACTCCAAATCATGTGTTGGGTAGTTCGTCTCGTGAGGCTTCAGCTGCCTCGACGCGTAGGCGATGACATGCCCTCTCTGCATCAGAACTGCGCCCAAACCTGAGATGGACGCATCGCAATATAAAACAAAATCCTCCATGCCCTCTAGCAGGGCTAAAATTGGCGACTCGCACAATCTCTGTCTCAGAGTCTCGAATGCGGCCTGCTGCTCTGGCCCCCAACGAAAGACAACGGCTTTCCTTCTTAGCCTAGTCAGGGGTACGGCTATCTTGGAGAAATTCAGGGTTAATCTCCTGTTGGGATTATTGTAATAACTTGTGTAAAAAAAAGTATATGTAATATATATATAATCTGATTATATCAGTTTAAAAGAAAGAGGATTAGTTCGTAATTAATGGGTTAATTATATACAAATTATGACGCTTGATGATCAAAACTATCACCTTGATTAGGCTAGTTAAATACGAGCAAATGAATGAGTTTCATCGGTTTTAGACTTAGGCATTATAAATAGTACGAAAAATCGAGTGTAAACCCCACAAGAATTTTAGAAATCGACTAAGAATTGAATGAGAAGTACGAGCTAGAAGTTCTTGAGGATTTTCGGAGTTGTTTTTGGCAATTGAGGTATAATCTCTAATTTAAGCTCGATTAGGTTGTTTGAGTATGTTTATGTCATGCATTACATGTTTTGATTCAACAGTAAGCTTCTGATTCGGCCATAAATATATGAATTTGAAGAAAAACCAAATTTTTATATTGATATAATAAGTATGTTATTTTTGAGAATTTTGGGTTAATTTCTTACATAATAGTATGGATGTATGTTGGAAAAGGTGGAGATATGAAATAGTTATTTATTTATTTTATTTTTTTAGAATTAATTGGGGTAAATGGTCACAAAATTCGGAGCTTTTAGCACTTAGAAATGGCACAAAATTGTAGATAATTTCTGGTAAAGAAGAAGGTAAAAAGCAGGTCTGGATGGAAGACTGTATAACAATGTTTTTATAAAAATATATTTTTTCTAAATATATGGTTGTGAGACTGGAAAGGCTGACACATTCCTTTTAACTGGTACACGATTTGTTTTTTTCACAAGAATGCCTTAGTTTCTTTCCCTGAATTAAATTTCCATTATAAAATTCTCTGTTTACGAGTTCAAAATTTTAAATTACATACATGGTCCCTGAAGTATTGATAACCCAATAGTTTATTTTAAAACAATTACTTTTGGATTGGAAATAAATTTTAGAAGATGGTCCCTACATTTTTAATAAATTGACTAATCCCTCTCTTGCTATTATTGATTTTATTTAGTTTATGTATTTAAAAGATTTGATTGCTCTGAACTTTAAATATTAAAATTTTAAAGCTGAAACACAAAATTGTAGATAATTTCAGGTAAAGAAGAAGGTAAAAAGCGGGTCTGGATGGAAGACTGCATAACAATGTTTTTATAAAAATATATTTTTTCTAAATATATGGTTGTGAGACTCGAAAGGCTCACACATTCCTTTTAGCTGGTACACGATTTTTTTTTTTTCAAAAGAATGCCTTAGTTTTTTTCCCTGAATTAAATTTCCATTATAAAATTCTCTGTTCAAAATTTTAAGTTACATAAATCGTCCCTGAAGTATTGATAACCCAATAGTTTCTTTTAAAATGATTACTTTTGGATTGGAAATAAATTTTACAAGATGATCCCTACATTTTTAATAAATTGACTAATCCCTCTCTTACTATTATTGATTTTATTTAGTTTATGTATTTAAAAGATTTGATTGCTCTGAACTTTAAATATTAAAATTTTAAAGCGGAAAATTTTATAACGAACATCGTAATTAACGTAAGCGAATGACTGTTATTTGGCCGAATAAAACATCTGACTAGTTGAACCAAAATGAGCACACATAGGATGTTTTTCTAGGAATGTTGCCTTAGAAAAAAAATTATTGGTGGAATGTAGGGTGCGTGTAGCGTGACAACCTTTGGTTAAGACCTAACCGCCAACAACGTGACTTTCGTGTAAATTTTGTGGTTGCTTGCATGAAAAGTTGATTTCAAATTATTTGCAATTACGTGTTACTATTGTTATTGCTATGATTATTTGTGTGAATTTTATGATTTATTTCATATAAAATGGTGAAAATGGTGGGTGACACACACACACACACACACACACACACACACACACACACACACACACATATATATATATATATATATATATATATATATATATATATATATATATATATATTTATATATATATATATAGGGAACAAGTGTATTTACACGGCCTTATTATTAGTCATCGTACATGGTGTTAGTACGTGGCGGAGAGCTTACGCTTTGTTTATATAGCCGTAAGCATATTCGTTGTGCCCGGCAGAGGGACATGTTCCCTGAAAATGACAGTAGTTCCCTAGTGTGTTACCGAGATTGGAAAGAAATGGAAAGAAATATATTTGATAAATTGTTGCATTTTTTTTATTGACGTCAATATGCATGAAAACCACGAACTCACTAGGACCTAGGCTTACCCATTAAAATCATTAAATGCACGCAACCCATGAAATAACGTAGCAAGTGGTAGCGGAAATGAAAAGGATAAAGTTCATACTTGCGGAAGGCGACAAGTTTTGAGGAAAACGTAGTGCGACAAGTGTTTACTTAAATATCTATTTGCTTCGGCTGTTATTATTATTATTATTATTATTATTATTATTATTATTATTATTATTATTATTAATGATTACATTAGTATTTGAATCTTGAATTTTGGAAGTTTTGGGACTATGTTAAGTTATTTTGGTATTTGAAATTTGGGACGTTAAAAGTTGGTATCAGAGCGTTGTTTAAGCAGACTAGTCGTTGATTTAATGCCTAAGCTTAAACGGGAGGAGCGGTAAGTCGCCTAATCTGGAATGCATCTCGTTTGTAAGTACTATGGATTGTGGAAAGGCAGTTGTCGATGGTGGGGTGTCAGTTGAGGGTACTAGTGGGTTACTTCCTCACGAGAAGTTGAAGGCCAAGTTAGAGCTCTCTGATTCAGAAGACAGTCTGGAACCAACGACCCCACTCAACCTCTCTGAGCGGGATGAAGAAGACGAGGATGTGGAATCTGAGGTGGAGCCCGAAGAAGATCCTGAGGAGGAGCCCGAAAAAGACCCTGATGAGGAACCCGAAGAAGACCCCGAGGAGGAACCCGAGGGAAATCAAGTGGAGTACCATGTGGAACAAAGATACGAAACATTCCATATGCCATATGCGGAGTACACGCCAACTAGTCTTGGTACCTATTGGGAGTAACTTTATAAAGATGAAATGCCATAGGCACAACTCAAGATTCACAGTTTGAAAAGAAAGATTGAAGAGATAGATGAAAATAGGTCAAGGCTCGTACAGGAGAACCAAATAAGGGTTGATGCTGCTGAGAAAAGTAAACGCAAGATACGAAGGTTGGAACAGGAGGTGTTGGAGCTAAGGAAACCCACTATCACTAAGTTGTGGGAAGGGTTTGTGGCTCGGGCAAAACTAGCCAAGGTCGCGACTTACGGATTCCTAGATAAGGTGGTTGGAAGAGAAACACCTCAGGCCGAGTTGCTGGTCATTCAAAGTGGTCCCGGAGATTGAAAAGCTAAAAAGATAAGGAAGTACTTGAAGGAGGGAAAGAGAATATTGAAATGTGATAACATCGTTTTTAAAAATTAGAAAGTAGGAGTGGAATGATTTGTTTTTTTTTTATTATTTATCTTGGTTGTTGGCTTGAGTGACTTGATGTGACAAAGACATATGTCTATTTTTGAAATTTTAATAATTGGGAACAAAATCTACGTTGGTTATACTTATTGTGTTATAAACATAAATATGTAGTTGATATGTCTTCACGAAGATCTGGGAGGTTCACTAGGGTCACTCCGGAGGAAGAACGCATCCCAATTGGAGCTTATGTTAGAGCACCAGGAGATGTTCCAGAAACCCCACTGAACCCAAACGCTAGTCGTGGACGGGGCCAAGGAAGAGGTAGGGGTAGAGGAAGAGTCCGAGGAGTTGTTACAGCACCGATACCTGTACCATCAGCCCATGGTAGCTCCGGATCCCACCGCGGTCGAGGTCGAGGTCGTGGAAGGAGTCGTGCGGCAAACACGATCACTAGAGAAGAGTTGGAAAATGAGATTGCTCGAGCAATTCGAGACACCTTACCAGATGTAGTTGCTCAGGCACGAGAAGCAATAATGGGTGAGTATGAAGGTAACTTGGGTGGAGGTGAAGAGGACTACGAGTACAGTACACCAAATATGAGTCGTGAACCAAGTATTGCACAACCCACAAGGCATCATGGCAACCACGATCGGCGGGGTTGTAGTTACAACACATTCATGAACTGCAAGCCACCCATTTTTAATGGAGAAATTGATCCCATTTTGTCATCAACATGGATCATGGAGATTGAGGGAACGTTCGATACTAGCAAGTGTGCGGATGAGGACAAGGTGATTTACGTTGCGACAATGCTAAAAGGGGAGGCAATACATTGGTGGGGCATGGTGAAGGAGGTTAGGGGGCGTGAGGCGGCCAAGAATATGTCATGGGATGAGTTCCTAAGAATTTTTAAAGAAAATTTTTGCCCTCGTACAGCGGTTAAACAGTTGGAGGAAGAATTCTTGAGGTTGGAACAGGGGAATACGAATGTGCGAGATACACCACTAATTTCATGCAGAAAGCTAGGTTTGCCGAATTTTATGTTTCTACAGAAGAAAGAAGGGTGGCACGATATATATGGGGATTGAGAACAGCTTTCCGTGAATTTGTGCAAATTCAAAAACCGGGTACTTTCTAGTCTGCTGCTGATGCTGCCGAAGGTCGCGAACGTGAGAAGAATCGTCAAGGTGAAGATAGGGCTTTGGGGAAAAGAAAATGGGATGGTACGAATAATGATGCGAAGAACGGCAAGACTTCAGGGCAAGAACGTTAGGTTGATCAAAGCTCTGGAGTAAAGCAATGTCCGAAATGCAACAGTTATCATAGGGGGAGTGTAACATGAATCAGAAAGTTTGCTACAAGTATGGGAAGCCAGGGCACATAGCCACAAAATGTAAGACAGGAAGGGTATGTTACGGGTGTGGTTCCCCTAACCACATTAAGTCGGAATGTCCCCAGAGTAAAGGCAACAACAAACAAGGAAGGATAACAGACAATCGTTCGACGTATAAAAAGATTGACACTGGTAGACCAAAAGCTAGAGCTTTTTGTATGACGGCTCAGGAGGCTCAGGAAACCTCGGATGTGGTGACAGGTACTTTCCTAGTAAACTCAAATCGTGCTAGGGTATTATTTGACTCAGGTGCAAATAGATCTTTTGTGTCTACTACTTTTTGCAAAAACCTGGGTAGAAATGCAAAGACTCTAGAACATGCCTTAGAAATTGAAACTGCTGACGACAATTGGGTAGTAGTACGAGAGGTATATGATGATTGCTCTATCGAAATAGAAGGTAGTGTGCTATCGTTACAACTATTACCTATAGCCCTATGTGATTTTGATATTGTTATAAGGATGGATTGGTTGTCCAAAAACCAAGCGATTATAGATTGTGAAAATAGGATTGTTCAAGTTTGGGTGCCAGAAAAAGGAATGGTAAAGATTTATGGTGATCGGCGAGTTAAGGACTCTGTTTTGATATCAGTGACTAAGGCAACTCGTTATCTAAAGAAAGGGTGTCAAAGTTATTGGGCATATGTTCTCGATGCCAAGTAGGACAAGCCTGAAATAACACATATGCCAGTTGTACGCGAGTTCCAAGATGTGTTCCCTGATGAACTAACTAGCTTACCACCGGATAGGAAAGTGGAGTTTCGAATCGATCTTACCCTAGGAGTAGCACCGATAGCTCGTGCGCCCTATCGGTTAGCACTAACCGAAATGCAGGAGTTGATGGCTCAGTTGCAAGATTTGCTCGACAAGGGTTTTATTCGGCCCAGTACCTCACCGTGGGGTGCACCAGTACTATTCGTCATGAAGAAGGATGGCACAATGCGAATGTGCATTGACTACAGGGAGTTAAACAAGGTGACTATAAAGAACCGGTATCCATTACCGAGAATTGATGACCTATTCGATCAACTCCAGGGGGCAAGTTACTTCTCAAAGATCGATTTGCGGTCGGGGTATCACCACCTGAAAGTCAGAGAAGAAGATGTGTCGAAGACAGCCTTTCGAACTAGGTATGGTCATTATGAGTTTTTAGTAATGCCCTTTGGTTTGACCAATGCACCAGCTGCATTCATGGATCTGATGAACCAGGTTTGTAAGCCATACCTAGACAAGTTTGTAATTGTATTTATCGATGATATATTGATATACTCTAAAAGTAAGGTAGACCATGAGCAACATCTGCGGCTAACACTTAGTTTATTGAGGAAAGAAAAATTATTTGCCAAATTTTCGAAGTGCGAGTTTTGGCTTCGGGAAATCCAGTTTTTGGGACATGTTGTAAACGAAAGTGGTATCATGGTGGACCCAGCAAAGATTGAGGCGATTGAAAAATGGGAAGCAGCAAGAACCCCATCAAAAGTTCGAAGTTTTCTTGGGTTGGAAGGATATTATCGAAGGTTTATACAAGACTTCTCGCGCATGGCTGCACTGCTAACTACCCTGACGAGGAAAAATGTGAAGTTCGAATGGAAGCCAGAGCAAGATAATGCCTTTAACGTCTTAAAGGAACAGCTTAGCAGTGCACCAGTATTATCTTTACCAGAAGCCAATGATGTCTTTGTTGTTTATAGTGATGCATCCAAGTTAGGCTTGGGGTTTGTTTTGATGCAAAACGGTATGGTGATTGCTTATGCCTCACGACAGTTAAAGGTTCACGAGCGTAAATACCCAACGCATGATATGGAGTTGGCTGCAGTAGTGTTCGCTTTAAAGATTTGGAAACACTATTTGTATGGGACAAGGTGTCAGATCTTCACTGATCACAAGAGTTTGAAATACTTGTTCGATCAAAAAGATCTGAACATGAGACAACAACGGTGGATGGAACTATTAAAAGATTATGACTGTGAGATATTGTACCATCAAGGGAAGGCAAATGTTGTAGCTGATGCACTAAGTCGTAAGGAAAGAAGAGAATCACCTAAGACTCGGATGATGAAGATTAGCATAACCACTAGCTTACTAGATGATTTGAGAAAGAATCAAGAGGAGGCCTCGAAGGAAGAGAAATGGAAAAGTGAAAGGTTGGCGGGAGTAATACAATCATTGGAAAAGGATAGTTGTGGCTTGAAGTGTTTCCAAGGAAGGGTTTGGGTACCACGATTGGGTGAAGTGCGTAACTTACTTCTCAAGGAAGCGCACATGTCAAAGTACTCAATCCATCCGGGAACAAACAAGATGTATCAAGACTTAGGAAAATCTTATTGGTGGCCTGGTATGAAAAAGGATATAGCCTATTTTATTGAAAGGTCTTTGATGTGCTTGAAGGTGAAGCCTGAACACCAAAGGCCATACGGTCAACTACAGTCAATGAAGATTCCAGTGTGGAAATGGGATCACATCACAATGGACTTTGTGACTAAGTTACCAAGGACACCAAAAGGTTATGACGCGATTTGGGTAGCTATGGATAGATTAACCAAATAGGCGCACTTCCTGCCGATTAAGGAGACATACCCGCTAGAAAGTCTATCTAAATTATACATTGATGAGATAGTGAAACTGCATGGGGTTCCATTATCTATTATTTCGGATCGGGATAGTCGTTTTACGTCGACATTTTGGGGTAGCTTCCAACGAGAAATGGGTACTCGAGTAAAATTGAGCACGTCATACCACCCGCAAACAGATGGTCAAAGTGAAAGGACAATACAGACCTTGGAAGACATGTTAAGGTCTTGTGTTATTGATTTTGGAGAGTCATGGGAAACTCATTTGCCGTTAATTGAGTTTGCCTACAACAATAGCTATCATGCAAGTATAAAAGTCGCACCATATGAGGCTCTATATGGCAGGAAGTGTAGAACTCCATTATGTTGGAATGAGGTGCGGGAGAAACAGTTGGCTGGAGCTGAACTTGTTCAGCAAACTACAGACAAAATCCAGGTGATTAGGGATAACATTAAGGTTGCTCAGGATCGGCAGAAAGTTATGCGAATAAGCAGAGAAAGCCAATACTGTTTCAGGTTGGTGATAAAGTTATTTTAAAAGTGTCCTCATAGAAGGGCGTTGTTCATTTTGGTAAGCGGGGGAAGTTAATTCCTCGCTACATTGGACCCTTTTATAATTAAGGAACGAGTTGGAGAGGTGGCCTATCGATTGGAGCTACTAAGGGAAATGCAGAGCATTCAAAGAATGTCCCATGTCTCTAATCTAAAGAAGTGTCTAGCGGAGGCCACCATGGAAGTGCCACTTCAAGAAATTAAGGCAGATGAGAAGCTACGATATACAGAAGAACCTGTTGCAATTATAGATCGAAAGGTCAGAAAGTTAAGGAACGTGGAGATACCTCTAGTGAAAGTTCAGTGGAAGTATCATAAAGGTTCAGATGCAACATGGGGAGACTCGGCGAGATATGATAACTAAATACCCTCATTTATTTGATTAGTTCAAAATTCCGAGGACGAAATTTTTCTAAA